TTTACAAATTTCTTCAAGAATGCTGCACATGCCCTGGTCTCATCTGGGCATGCTGCCAGACACACTAATATCATACAATGTCCTAAGTATTTTTGGTTATTTAGAAGTAGTTCAAATATTTTCATAAATTCAACACCTGTATGTAATACTGCAGTACCAGTATAGGTTAAAATAATTCATTTGAACATGTTAACATTTTCCACTCTCATAACTATCTCCAGACAACAATTTATGTTACCTCGTTATAACATTATATTGATCATATAATCAATCTGTGATGAATTGATATTTTAAATTAAAAAAGTCTATGGACAGTCATGGAGCTTTATATACATAAAACAACTTATTCTGGCACCAAGTTTCTGAAAGTCTCCTGAAAACATTTAAAAGTTGCCAAACTTGTCTGTGTGAAAATTGAGAACTACCTTCAATATGTATACAGTACATTCATTACATGTTTACCATTGACTAAATAACATAATGATCAACCTTATGTGAATTGCATGTACTATACACTTTTTTCCTATTTTAATTGAAATGAAGTATATATCATTTACGGTCTTATATTTTGTCAAAATCAATAAATACTAAACTAAAAAAAAACCCAAATGTTCAAATTTCTATCAGCTGCAAGGATTCCATGACAAGCAGACGAGCCCATCCAATAAGTGTCATGTATCTGTGTATCTCCAAACTGTGTCATAAATTGGATAGCTTATCTAGCTTCATTACTTCAAGTGAAAGAAGAGTCAACATACTTCAGCAATAAAGTGTTGTCAGATGTAAAGTGAAAATCTCAAAATTAAATCCACCACAATGACACATTGCTTGGCCCTAGGACTAATATGTAATGGTTATCATACAAGGTAAAACCAGTAAAGAATCTTATTTTAGAACTTCCACTGATAGCTTCAACAAATCAACCAGATGTATAAAAACTATTAAACCCCCAGGTAAGCAACAGCTGACCAAACGGATATCTATATATATATAAAATGTACAAGTCTCCACCTTAAAGATTTATTCCTTAATATCTACAAGTTTTTTCCATACAAGTCATTTAGTGATGACTAGAAGATTGAAAAACTTAATAGTTTCCATTATAACATATAATATGTGCATATTTATAATTTTTTGTCATCAAAAAATTATTTTATTTCAATAATGGTGAGTCTTTTACTGACAAACAATTTCCACTGTAACATTCTCTTTGTATGGTTATTAACTTTTCTATATACACTGTGCAATCAAAAACTCAATTTCTTCTACTGTGAATTCTTAAAAGAAATTTTCATTCTTTTGTCTTATTTCATATCAAATTGATCTAATACTGATAATTTGATAATCCATGGCAGTGATTTTTGAGAGTCAAATATTTAAGTAATGGACTCATGCTTTTCCTTTGGGACTCATACAAATTTGAGAACCCTCCTTATTCCTATAGTACTGGGTTCAACAAAATTTTGGAAATGGTGCTCTAGACTCGCCAGAAAAAAATCCTCAAAAATTATTGCTTGGTGCAGCTATGCTACCAAATAAGCCAAATAAGCATAGATACATATTTGTAAAATGATGAGTGACAATATTATTTAACAATAAGATGATATATGGTGTATTAAAATTGGTATCTGGTATAGTGTATGTTTTATTTTCTATTTTGATGTGTTACTATATATAGCTAGCTGGCTTTGCAGAGTAGACTTAACTATCACCAAAGTGATGGATACTGAATATGTTTATACTGACATACAAAACTGATAAAAAATATTTATTATCATTTTGTTTTCTTAACAAGTATCTGCAGCACTACTGTTGTAGATAATAAACAATGTACATGGCATATATATGTATACCAAGACTTTTCTTAATCCCATTACATATATATATGTATATATATATATACCACTCTGGCACTAATCCTGCTACCAAAATAAAACACATGTGCATTTTTCCCAATTACCCCTGGTAGGTATGACAAATAGAGATGGACTGTTCTGGTGAAGAGTGTCTACCATCATCACACGCTCCACTTGGTCTGATAAATCTCTTAACACACTTCAGCTTAGCTGTTCTCCAGGCTAAACCTACAGTAACCAGGACAAATGTACAGTTCCTAATAATCTGTCCATCAGTTCTGACCTTAAGCCCCCTCTTCTTGGAACACCTGCCATTGTAACATCAATATACTGAGTACACAACTGCATGTCCATGCAAATGCAGTTATTTGGAGTTTGGGAAGCTCTCCTGGCAGTGATATATGTAGCACAATATTTCATTTACAAATTATTTTTTTTATCCAATAGAATTTAAATACTGTTATAATTCAAATTGATGTGATCATAAACAAATGATTTCATCAAAAATTCAGCAGTCATGCATATCTAACAAACAAGTTCAAAATGTCCAAGACTTGAGAACCCATTGTAATAAGATTAAATTGAACAATGGATCATAGGGTTCATTATAAACAGCTACCTACCAGTATAGTAACTACTATCTAAATTAAATACAATCTTGGTAAAATTGTGAAACACCAGCTTTCAGTATGTTTTCTGAAAGAGGGAATGTGGTATATGATGATTATCATGATAAAGGTAAATGACAAAATTGAAAATGTAATGGAAGTAAGACAGGAAGTTTCTTTGGTTTATCACCCTGTGAAAAGCCCAGGTCATTTTGAGACCATGACCAGGTCTCCTTATAGAATCTGAGAGCTACCTCAGCGAACAAACTGGAGGTCTATCACGTCATTCAAAGCAACTAAATTAAAGTGTCCATGTACATGAACAGCATAACACAGACTGGTCCATTTCTAAGTTTTGTGAGAAACACAAACTGTCAAGGATAAGTAGCTATACAGTGTTGAACAACACATCTCAGACCTCACCCAAGGTTATATGCTCTAAATGACTTAACTATCACAGCCCTCTAGAAAAGTATACAGATTTATATGAATAGCATGGTGGATAATGAAATAATTATACTTCAATCATATGCAAGCACCTTCTTCAAGGCCAGGGTTGAAGTCAGAGTGGAATTTACTACAAATTACTTTTCTCACAATCCATTTTCTATTTATAGTAATACTAACAGTGACCTTGACCTTTATATTACATTATACTTCATTATACCTTGACCTTTTACCTCCAAACCTGAGAGGTAATTTAAAGCAAGCACTATCTTTCAAGGAGCATTTGATGATTTGATGAAACAGAACCAAAAATCCATCTATAAAAACGTGAAGATCACAATCAATTTGTGAAGAAAATTCAATGTCAACATAACTTTAAACTTAACCTGCTGACATACACTCAACAAAAATAACCTATATCATCTGTTCGGTATTGATTTCCAAGATTTCAAGTACATTGGTATCATATATAGCAAATATTTACTGGTCTTATACTTTACAGTGATTACAATCAGCTGCTGATGAAAATGGAAACACCCACCAGTATAAAGAGCATTAATCTAGCCTGTTCCATTGAGGTACAATATCATTCACATTGCATTATTGCCTAGAGTCTTATTTATCTTTCATTCACTTGAATAATAATTAAAGACAACATGATCTCTTAACCTTTCCTAGAGCTGGTTCCTTTAAGAACAACAAGTTGAAATACAGTATATGTGTCAAGTGTTGTGTACTTGAACACTTGTAAAGTGTTGGTTCTCAACCTCTACAATTCAAAGACACGGTTGAAACACTAACTCAACACCTGAACTTTCACCTGTATACTGACATTGTCTCATTGCTGTGTACACGAATGCTGAGGATTAGCGAGACAAAAAACCATGTGTACATTGGAAATCTATATCATGCATAGCAGGTACGAAATGAACTAATTTTAATAGGGCTTGAAACAAGACATGTAAACAACTCCAGAATCGGTGAGTCTGCTTTCCTGCCAACCAGAATATACATACAGTCATATTATTAGCAATTTATTATGAACCATGTAACTCTGAGCTCCACCTCTTTTCCCCTTGCATGCTGTAGGCCTAGGTGCTGTATTGTTGACATGATGATAAACTAAATTCATTTAAGTTACAGATATGAGTGTAAGTATCTGAATTGATGACTGACAACTGCTGACAGTTCAATGTACTATATGAGAAGAAAAGCATCAAAGCGTTGTCTAAAACACAGTGTTTTGGGATTGGATGCTTTGTGCAGTGACCGACATATTAACTTGTGGACATGTTCTTATAAGATTCCGTGATGGTCTATCCGACGCACTAGAAGTTAATGTTATAATCAATGTTCCATCTGTGAATTTACCAATGGTCCTCAAAGTCAGTTGCAGTAAGTAATATAAATACTACCACATAATTATAGCAATACTGATGGTATATGTAGCAAAACAACATGAATGACCACTGCCATTGGGTGTTGGATTGTTGAAGCACCCCGGTGGAAACATGGGCCATACTTAATCCCCTACACCAAGTCACATCTCTACACGTTGCCAGAACACTGACATTCATCAGTGAGATGATTTCCGCATGGGAGGAGTCATGAAACGATTTCTAGATTTAACTAAATCAAATGGCAGCTACTGGATATAGTGTTATTATCATTTAGATGTGTGGTATATGTTTGAGAATTTAACACAAATTTTAAGTTATATTTGAGATGAACATTATGGATCAACATGTGGCATATATACACATTGAAACACATGACATTTGGGATTGCGGTTCAAAAGAAAGTCAGGGTAGACCTAACTTATTACGGTAATAGATTTGTCAATATACTTAGCCGGTAACTTAGTATTTTCGTTACGTATATATTTACCAGAGAACAAAACAAATCAGCAAACATTTCGGAAGGTGAGTATTTTCTTGTTGGTGGATTTATAAGCTATACATAATTAATTGATGAAGAAAGATCGGTGTGTAGCAACATGACATTTGATGCTGCTACTGCCGAATATGCTGTCATTTGGGACGAAACGTCTGGGAGGCCAATGTAACAGGGTGTCATTTTCTATACTTACTTCTTTTGAGATTTGATTGAGAGCTTGTTCCTCTGCCGAATACTGTCGGGTGGCAGAACGCCGACGACCCGTGGCAGAACTCGTACTCATGATTACAATGTTCCGACCACCGCTAGGTCAAAATTGTCCCCCGCTAGGCTGAAAACCCACACCCCACAACACCCGTGCCTTGGTTTTAGAAAACTTGTCCAAGTCTCCTCTCTTGGGATAACATCTAAGAAAAATAGAGTGTCATTGCGTAAATGCACACGAGTTTGTGTGTCAACCATATGAGCACACTGGCCACATAATTTCAGGTGTTCGAGCAAATTTTCTCTTCCGCAATCTCTGCAACTCACAGCAAGATGGCGGTCACCCGGATGTGGGTTCAACTTCCGATTTGACTATCTTACGGATCTCGTGTAAGTGAAAAGAAATTCAATAAGTAAATACAGCTGATGTTGTTATCAATATACCATCATCAGCAAGTCGGTTAAGCTTACATAAATAACATAAAACTGGAGAATTCAATGCTTTCAGTTTTGGTAGACACGTAAAGATAAGTAAGCAGGAGTTGCCTCCCCTAGTACCGAACCATGCTGGTAACTTTTAAACAAAACAAAACACACACTATGGAATATAAAAAAAATATGATAATATTTAGTGTAAATTCAACAAAACATCCGACAGACTCATTCTAATATCTTCATGTTGAGTGAGAATATAAGCGTTATTTTTTTTTCAAATAAATCTTACAGTAAAAACGAAGAGTTTCGAAATGGGCGTTTTAATGAAAATGAGTTTACACGCTATTATTTGATTAAATAATACAGCAAGACAATGTATATATGATACATTTTCTATATGCCAAATCGAGTATTAAGAATATCCGGGAAAAACATATCATAAGCATAACCAGAAGTAAGGCCTTATGTAATTAATAAATAAACACACATATACATGTCATGAGCAAACTATTGACACGGAGAACAGATATGAAGTAACTTCTACCACCAAAACACCCATGGTTTCGTATAACAGCCTTATGAAATATATTTAGTAAAAGTGATATAATCTTCTCAAAAGTCGTTTTTCCATCAACAAAACTAACAAACCAAGGATTGAGAACAAGAGACTAAATTAATAATAATAAAAGCAGATCTAAAATCCTCGACCGCACAACTTCGGATGTGATATATATATATATATATATATACAACTGTATGTTTATATATTATATATATACAACTTGGGATACATATGACCATATACATTTATGGTCATAAATGTGCGAGAGTGTGCCATACCGTCGAGATTACGAACTAGATTATATATATATATATATGCTACACCTTGTGTACAAGTGGAAAGACTAATTTGATCCTTTGATGTACATCAAATCAATCTCGGGGTCACATAACGATATATTGAACTGGCTTGGAAGTTGAGTGGCTCTCCTCTGTAATTCGCATGTGCCTTCAGTTTTGATAAGACATGTTTCAGGGGTACAGAGAGCGAAAGTGATCGTAACCCCTAGAGTATCTAAGATGGAGTTGACAGCGAACATGTAGTCATCGAAACGTCACTCTCAAATCTTCTATTAGTTGTGTCTTATACCACTGGGTACAGGATACAACTTAATATACCGTTATGTGATTTGTTTTATGTACTTCCAAAAATCCAACTAGTCTTTTCGTCTTGTCCACATGGTGTCGCACACGGATCCTTCAATTTTGCCATGACATGTTCCAGGAATGCAGAGAGCGAAAGTGATTGTAACCGCTGGAGTATAGAGGATGGCTGTAACAGAGTGATAACGTAATGAGGCGTGACCTTGTTAAGTACACTCGATTAATTTGTCTACACGATCTACTTAATAACTGTGGACAGTGTAGTCATACCAGAGTACTTTATGATGCGACATGTCAGATTTATGGACGACAGGAGATCAAACCTGACGGGACGTGAGGGCCGTCTGCCTGTAGGATAGAGGTAGCGCACGACTCCATACTGGTCCTTACCACACTCTATATAGCGTTAGACACCATCCTGTTGAAGGTTACCGTTACAAACGTACAGATGTTCAGTATAGTCAAATTTGAAGCCACTTCCGTATCGTTGAAAATATTTTCCGCGAAATAAACTGAAGAGAGCTTTCGAAGGAAAAAAAAAGTTGTCCTGTCAAAATATATAAACTTTATATAGCATTTCTGTTCTTAGAGAAAGTAACAACGAGTTTTTGTAGGTATAAATAGGGTAAATTACTTTGGTATTTTTAACTTTCGAGGGATACACATCAGAACATTTAAAAACATTTTGATATGGTCTGTACAGGTTTTGTAAATAAATAAATAAATAAATAAATAAATAAATAAATAAACAAGTTGATTTAAAACTCATCAAACGTTTAGTCTACAGAAAATAATTAACTGTTCACAATGATTTAGTTTAGTGTTGATATTGAATCGTATACTAAAACTATTAGTTGAATTCAATTTAGTAAATGTCCAGGGTTTCAAACCCAAAAGAAACTTATTTGAAAGATACAAACGCATTTTTGTGGAAGAGATGGTTTCTGTGTTTATTGTTGTATGTATATTGAAAAAGTATTGAAAAAAAAAAAAATCGGATGAAGATTCCCAACGAGGGAACAAGTGTTTGAGTATTTTTTCAAACTTCAAGGTAAATGAATTGGTAATTAACGGTTACTAAACTTTTATTGGAATGGTGATCTGTAAACATAAAAGTTAGCGTAATATTACGATAGGCTGGAAAAATTAGCATCTAATTTACAACAGACTAGGAAAGTTAGCGTCATATTACGATGGGCTGGAAAAGTTAACGTCATATTACGATGGGCTGGAAAAGTTAGCGTCATATTACGATAGGCTGGAAAAGTTAGCGTCATATTACGATAGGCTGGAAAAGTTAGCGCCATATTATGATAGGCTGTAAAAGTTAGCGTCATTTTACGACAGGCTGGAAAAGTTAGCGTGATATTAAGATAGGTTGGAAAAGTTAGTGTGATATTACGATAGGCTGTAAAAGTTAGCGTCATATTACGATAGACCGGAAAAGTTAGCATCAAATTTACGACTGGCTAGAAAAGAGCGTCATATTTATGAATATGATTATTTTATGATTATTTACAATAACATACTAAACCTAATGTAATATTTGCGATAACGTGCTGAAATTAACGTCATATTTACGATGATAACTAAAGTTAACGTCATACTTACGATAAAACACGAAAGTAAATATCATATTTACGATTACATACTAAAGTTAACGTCATACTTACGATGAAACACTAAAGTTAATGTCATATTTACGATATCATAGAAAAGGTAGCATCATATGTTAGTCATACTTACAAGTGTTAAAACAAGAATTCAGTAAATATGTAGTATGCAGTCTTATGTTTATAGGAAAATGATAAAGAACATACATACATTAGATATTTATGTACATTCTCTGCTATTAGTGCAGATATATGAATTCTCCCAAAACATCACAAATATAGCTTAAAATATCCACTTTTATAAAATTGTACATAGGCTGAGTCATTTGACAATGTTTCAATGTCACAGATTGTGTGACACTCTAGCGAGGAATGGCTTATACAAACGCAAAAGGTACATTGAATATAATAATCCTGATTATATTTCAGTGTAACTTATAAAAACTTTAACAGAATATTTGAAGCTTTGAAAAATCGGAAGTTTTTAACTCCGTTTTAGACATCCATAGTTTATCTAATGGAGAAACATTATAAGCCAGGTTATAAGTTGTCTTTCCCAGTAAAATTCTTGACACGATTGGTAGTTAAACTAGCTCTAGTATTTTGGGTGGCAATCGTCTCAATCGTTCAATAAATGAACATCAAACACATCCAGCTTCATACCACACAGAGAAATCTCAATGAGATCACCGAGGTCACTATGACGACGTTAAACTTCCCCATGATTTTCATCAACCTGCATCTTTTGAAACCCAGGGTTATGAGTTTGTTCGTCAGTTGACGGCATCTTACACGAAAATCGTGATATTGGGAAACAGGCCCTTGAATATAGAATCAGCTGCAACATGTAAATACCAAGAATTGGGGATGCAGGGATGTTGCTATCCAGACTCGATAGAGAATTCTCAATAGGGTGATTGAAATCATCACTCTTATCAAACAGTTGGTGGAAAGCTGTTCATGTTCGTATTATTGTTGGAAGAGATCGTGATAAGCAGCTGATATAGAAGAGTCTGTTGTGCTTTTGATTTCCAATTCTGGTGGGTATATACGATAGACTTGGTTAATAAAAAATCTTGTCATTTGAAGACAACATGTCATCAGTATGCAAGATATTTGTGACTTAGTGACCTGTTTTGATAAGCTCTTTGATAAATTCTGCCTCATATGAAAACAAATCAGCCAACAGAGGTGTACTTTGAGTTCCCATAGGTATGGCAACAATATGTTGGAAGATCTTAATTGAACACATAAAAAATTACCGGTAGTTTTGGGTACAGCTCCAAAGAACATGTGCCTTTTCACATTATTGCTTCAGGAATCATTCTGTTTACGTTCTCAAAGCACATAACTGTAGTAAAAATTCTTTGTGGATGTTCAAAAGCACATATAAACTGTGCTTTTATTTGCTACATTAAACATAACTTAAATCAAAAGATTATAGCTAGGGACCTTCTTGATTGTTCCAGAAGAATGAGAAACGGTATGGTGGGACAGTAATCCAGCCTTGCTCTGAACACAACGATCTCTATTTCCTTCAACGAATATGAAAATTAATTTTGTTTAAAAAAACAAACTCATTTAACATCTTGTGATACGTGTGACCACACATATGGTACTGAGGTCAATTTACTTTAGTTTATTTCAATGCCCGCCTCCGTAAGGATTCTAACCCGGGACCTCTGGCGCTCATCCGATCGAGCTAAAGAGAAGTTATCTCTATTCGAGCGGTATATTGCGGTAATTTTTTTACCAAGGATATATATATATATATATATAAGTGGTGTATTTAAGAAAACTTGAGTAACATCAGTATTAACAGTGCGTGTTCTGAAAATATTTTGTATTTTTGAACTATCTATTTGTATATGTTTATGCAAACTTTCGTCGAGAATTATTATTATTATTTCTTTTCTCGGTAAATTAAATCACATCATGATGTTAAGTAGAAATCAAGAACGTTTAATCACTGCCATGATGGATCACTTAAAAAGCTATGTAGCAAAAAATTCATCACCTAATCACACAAGTTAAAGGCTACGTCATATCACGTACACCGCACTATCGGATACATCTCGAATGGTTATTTAAAACAATTGTTTATTCCGTTTGTTTCCGAATATGAATAACGAGATTTGGAATATACATAAGTTTTCGAATGTCAACTACAGGATTTCAAGCAGGAATACATTTCGAAGACATTAGACATGACATATCATATGGTATATATATATCTATATATATATATATATATATATATATATATATATATATATATATATATATATAATGAACATATAAATCTACTTTAACGAAAAGAACTAAATTGAGGTTATGTCAGTTAATTGTTTTATGAAAACCAACATAACCAAAATTAAAAACAAATCATGAACAGTTCGAAATTTGATAGTAAACTTAACTATTCAGATAATAAGAGGGGCGAAGTATCTTGTATGCCAAAACGGTGTAAAACCAACACCTCACCAAATGAGTTTCAAAGCCGGATATTATGATTATATCGATGTTTTTCATTTCACAATAACATCTTTTAATATTTCGATCAAATTGAAATAATTTAGATGTTGGTGAGGCATTTATTTATCATGGTTCTAGAAAATCGAATATAAGCAAATCAGACGAATCTGATAGAGAATTGCGTAATTCAGAAAAAATACCAACATTTCAACAAAATCATGATCCAAACTCAAATTTAATAAAACTGGGACAATATGAACAAAAGACAGATTTACACTGAAAAAGTACAAGGCGAATATGATAAGGTGTTCCGGAATAGTAAGCGTCTTTCCCCCTTTTGATGTACAGTGAATATATATTTGAAGAATCAAAAATTAAAAATATGTATTGTATGACATCATTTAGCTATCTCATCAATACATCCCAATCTGTATGATTTCAGAGTTTTGGAGATTGCAATGATAAACACTGCAGATGGATTTTAAGTCTCCAGAGTTTGGCTTAAACTGGATGCAAAGCTTAAATTCATTCTGATAGCAACATGGCTCGTACACATATACCTGACGTGCTCTTGAAATCATTTCATGTCAAAAATCATGACATTTGTTGCATTTTGGGGTTAGTTCACCACCTCATCAGAATTATGATTCTCTCATCAATCTTTTGGCTATCCAGTATCTTATTCTAAATTGCATTGGAAAAAAATTCGATAAAGTGTCTTTTAAGCAATCTTTTGATATTTATTGTTAACGATGTTGCAATGTTTTGCTAATGAAATTTTGTTTCAACAAAGATAGAGGTATTCTTTCGGAAATTTGATTGGTGGATGACCCTGTAAAATTTGTTTCTTCCGTTTTTACTTTAACTACAGAATAAACATGTTGAAAAGCTTGCCACCACCAAAGTTTTATATTCCAGACAGTTTTATACTAGATTAATCGGATTTGTACATGATACAGCCACTCCTCTACACCACTGTGAGAAATGGTTTGGTATCGTACGACTAATTAAGCTGTATTTTCAGCTCAACATGACAACAGTAATTAATCCCTTACATGGATGTCTCTGCTAAACACGATTTACAATGCCGCTGGACATCTTCAACAAACGCATCTTGCAACAATGACATTTCATGACCGTAGACATGTTGTGTGTGACCTGTCAAGTTCTACTTCTACTCAAACCGCTCCTGTGCCCTCAGTCAGACTGACAGACCATGTCAGATATAACCTTGTGGAATTGATAATGACCTCTGACCTTTTCATGGTTTTGGCGAGTATAAAATGAGTGCACTTTGTCGGACTGGTCAGCTGTTACCTGTCTGTACTAGCTCAACTACCACCCCATCCTTCCTGGACATCCTCATTAAACCTCAAATATGTGGACGCCGGCTATTGTACTCGTTCTTCTAGGAATCACTCTTCAAACTGGTATGTATCTTTTTTATTTACTTTCTTTTTTATATCTTCTATATCTTAGTTAATTTTCTGACATTAAGTAAAGATAAATGAATTAGGGAATTTGCATATTCAGAGATTACTGGGGACATGTCTTCGTCATTTGTAGTTACATATCCAAACATAAAATGTTACCATGTAATGGTTTAAGCGATGCGGTTTCGTCCTTCTAGGACTCGTCAGTGATATTGAGAGTTTAAATATTGAAAGTTAGGAGGCAAAATCCAAACTGATCGAAAGAAATGTCAAAATCTAGATGGGAAGGTGCGTTTATATCAGACTTAAAGCAAAACAAGCATTAGAAAAGGACACGATGAAATAACCGGTGACAGATTGTGTAATGTCTGTTATGTCTCGCTGCTATAAAAATATCTGTGCTATAAATAAAAATATGCGCATCCTGTGCTATAAACTTCAAACCAGCCATGAAACTTGTGCACACTTGCGTTTACTGGGAATAGAATTGTATTACTTGTATATCTCTTTTCTACTGCGTCTGTGTTTTACAACACTAGACTAACTATGATTATTACAAAGCTTCAGTTAGATTTCATATTATTCCTTACTATCATTTATTCATATGCATTACAAAGGTCATTTGTTTATACACGATTGGGGATAATTTCATGTACTTTTGTACCATGTGCCAATAACTATAGATGGCATTAAGCGCGAAATTCGTGAAAAGAATATTTGTGAAGTCTACATGATTTTAAGATCCAATAAAATGCGAAGATGTAACTCATTAAGGACGTTTAATTTACTTACAGCTCATTGTCAAATGGCTAATGCGATGGAACAGTTGATGAGTAATCCCTTATTCATGATGAGTATGATGCAACAAAACAACCAACAACCGTCAGGCAGTTCCTCTTCCGGAAGCGGAAATACATCCGGCGGATCTGGAAACAATTTAAGCAACTTGCTTATGCAGGCTGCTATTTTCGATATGATGGAGTCTGGAGGTATGGCAGGTATGGCCGGTATGGCAGGTATGGCAGGCATGGGAGGCATGGGAGGTATGATGGGCTCGTCAGGTTTGATGGGAGGTCTCAATCCCATGATGCTGGCTGCTGCAAGTGGTGAGATGAACCCAATGATGACAATGATGATGCCTGGTATGGGAGGTCTCGCCGGTATGATGGGAGGTATGGGAGGCATAGGAGGCATGGGAAGGATGATGGCCCCAGCAGGAAGGGCAATGGGCAGGCCAGCAGCTGGAGCCAATCGAGTAGGAGGTGCAGCGGCACGTACAGCAACATCCGGATAATCATTTGGTCTATTTTCTAAATTATTAAATTATTTTGTTGTAAATATATTTGAAACAAATCAACTCTGTTTGTTGTTGTGAAAATAAAAAGTATACAGTTTTTTTTAGTGTTTTGAGGTATTTTTTTAACAACAACGCATTACAGAAGTTTGATAAGCTTATTATGATAAATTACCGTTAATGCAGTGCCGGATTGCAATATAATAGCGGACATTTGTTTGAAAAACAATGACGGGGAAAAAAGTGAATATCTTTGACATATTATGATAAATGACAATATGATTGACAATTGTGTCAAGGGATGTCGTATCAATATCAGAGCTGATATTTAATATTATCATATAGAACCAGATGACAGTTGCTGACAAATGACATATTATACACATAATGGAATATGGGAATTTGCTGACAAAATAATATTTGTTTTCCATATAATGAAACTGATATGCTTCCAAGGTTTATCGTTTGACGATTTCAGATATAGATACTAGATGTATTTACACATTGGGTAAATGTTTGAAGCAGAAACAAAAATCTATTGGCGGAATATGATAGCAGATGATATTGGCTTGCTATCCTAGTGTTAAATGATCTACAGGTACTTAATATGGCAGCCGATAAGCTAATCACGACATGGGAAGTTACACTGACACTATCTACAACAGGTAAAGATTTCATTTTAAACAATGATTTGAAGCTTGTGTGTGTTTTGTAAGCCTTCAAGCTGGTAAGACATATAGGATGTACAAAGAAAATAATATAAGTAAAATGGAAAAAATAAAAATCATTTGATGCGTCAGACATGCCGTCAGCTATACAACTTAACCGCTCGTTAAACTTATCATCAACGAGCAGAAAGTGCCAAAAGTGATGTAATTTAACTGTCAGTTCGTCGGAAATTTATTTGGAAAGAAACAACCGACAGGCCAAACAATTACATTAAATTCTTTTTAACTACTACTTCAACTAAAGCTAAATCGGAAGATAATGTACAAGGATGAGCGAACTGTTGCCTATATACATACATAAACTGCATAGAAAACGTGGTCAGGATCACAATGTTTTGTTTATCATTAGTCAATAATCTGAAAAATTAATAGAGAAGGAAATGCTTAGCTTAAAATGTGCAATACAGAAAGCTATGATTGTATCGATCAGCTGTTTAATTTGTTAGACATTTTATCACAGTTAATCTTATTTCCCAGGAAGTTATCGGCTATTTGCACAAAGTTCAATTTAAAGACATTGTCATGAAGGCGGGAGGTACAAATATTTAGTAATCAGCATGTTCACAAAACATCAACCAACAGAGATATATCCGGAAAGATCGTAGTGGTATGCGGTTTATCAGCCTGTTTACTCAAAATAGTCTACAAAAATTACCGACATATTAAGGGAATATTATATTAATGTAATTCAAAATCATATTCATGGCAAACTAAGAACAAACGAACGATTTACATAGCGTCTCCTGAAAAGAATAAAACAATAAAAGACCAAGGTTTTCCGGAATGGTTAGTGTCATCAAGAAGATCGCAGAATTCTAATGAGAAGAGAACGTTCAGATCGGACCGATCAATGATACATATTTTATAAACTAGTTATCTGAAGACTAAATCGAAACAGAGTTGCAGTATGGTAGTTCACCAACTGGCGGTAATATATACAATGTTTGTAATTGTTGATTTCGCAGAGGAATCCAGGTAAGTAATATCACGTTCCCATATGAGAACAAGGTAAACAACAAAGGAACCACAAGTCATATTCAGAAGCATCGATCAAATACAACTTTATATCGCGCATTGAAATGTATTTCTCAATAAGATCTCTCTTGCAACCCTTTGTTGTAGACAGTAGTCTGAAAATAATGCAATGATAAAAAGATGTTTATAATTAAAGCTATCAAGTAGCCTGTGTTACATATTTGTTTTATTGATAGACAATTCACAAACGATATATATTCCTACTCTATGTATTTAATTATGCATATGCGGATGATATATGTTCTTGTTTGAATCCTTTTTAGCTTAACTTATTGGGACACACATGTAAAATGTACACAACTAATAGTAAGCTGTCATTAGATGTATCTTCTTTTAAAGAATAAAGAAACAGCAACTCAAACGTCGTGACATAGTTAACAATCACCTATTCATATCACACTTTGGTTTCATCACAAATTGTCATTCGAGACTTGTAGATTGTAAAAAAGACACACAATTAAATGGCACCTTGTAATTATTTAGAATAAGATACAGTATAGCCAAACAATGAATAGAACTGCAACATACAAATGTTTTGTCCTTTCAGGACTAGTCAGTGATGCTAAGGGCCTAAATGTTAAAGCTATGAAACGACTGGGGAAAATCTAAAGCTACCAAATGAAAAGATCTTGACGGGGAGGTGCAGCAACCCAATAATTAAATATATTTCGTAATTTTCATAAATAGAACTGTGTTTTATAAGCTAGATAGCTATAGAGTTAATCGGGATGAAAAATATCCATAGAGTCAGATAATGGTAGAGATTATAAGCTAGCTAGCTTACAGGATCTCTCAAAACTATGCTTTCTTTGCAGGACAATAATTCATAACTTGCAAGGTTGCTACAGGCCAGGGCATCCTTATAAACCCGCTATATCTCACGAGGCACCGATTTCGATGATTCATTATACATACAAACAAGGCACTAAGTTGTAATAAATGAGAAATGATGGTCAAAGTGAAATTAAATCAATGAAGCTTTATGTTTTAATTTCCTTCGTAAATACAATTATTTGTAGAATACATAAAGTTCCGTATCAATAAGAATACATACGTCATTGTCGTGTATCTGGACATTTATGACCCAGTAATTGTGATATAGCATAAATAAATCGGATCGTCCCTATATACGGAGGCGTGACTTGTTGGTAGAGTAACATTAAGGATTACTGAGAAAGATTCCTTGTTCGTGAGAGCCTTTCCTGCTTTAAATCTCAATGTGTTAGTATATGAAGCATCGATATTTGTATCACTGTAAATAATTGTGTGGTATATAGGATCCTTGCATGTCGCGTCCCTGCTCCTTGACAAACAACATTTACATAACCCGTTACAAAAATATAACCATATATCGCTAACAACATTTGAATTACCACATATGTGATTTCTTATTTTTTTTCCTTTTCTTTTGGTGAAGCACATACAAAATGAAAGTTTAAGGTTCAGCTTTATTCAGTAGAGTTGGCGGCAATTTAATACGGAGTTACATTTTCATATTTTAATAGATGTTTAAAACAAGCTGCAGATATTCTGGTCGAGCAAACTCCAATGTTATGACTTCCATTATCTTGAATGTGTGTTATGATAAAAAAAAGGTATCTTATAACACTTTAGCCCAATATACGCCTACCGGAACATAAAAAGATCTAACAAAGGCATTTTTAGGATCATTCTCATAATTTACCACAAACTTGAAAAAAAAACCATACAACATAAGTCATTTCAGTTTGAAGACAATCCACTTTCAAAGGTACGTAGTTCTGTTACATGCGAGGAGACTAACCATAACCATAATATTTTCACGTTTCAAACAAAATATTCAAGGTCTTATTTGGCCATTCTTACTTTAATGTTTTATTCAAGGAGGTTATTATTTTATGCAGATACGTAACAAATGAAACCATAATGTCTTTTTTTATCACAATATAGAAAAAAAATATATACTTATATCTATAGTTGTACTTAAGAGCTGTAAAGAATCCGTTATATGACGTTTTCAAGATATTCTGCTAGTGAACTACACTTTTAAACAGTAAAAATACTATAGGATAGTCAAAAACAGGATTTAGGTTATTTTTTTCCAAGATTTTGATTTTTGGCTGCTCTGCAGGTTTAAGCTCTTTAAGTAAAATGGAACTTTTGCATTATCAGCGAAAGACGATAATTTATGTGTACGTTCTTATGCGTGTTACACATATCTGGATGCATATGTAGGGAAGAGAAATGAAACAATGTATTGATTTTTCGCATTAAATCCTCTCAAACACTCACCACAATTATAAATTTTGAAAGTTTAATACTGGGTTTGCTTTTGTTTCTCAGAGGAGTACACCCTTAAATAAACACGTGTAAGTGGATTGGTCGCTTGATATATTTGATAACATAAACGGACTGTAAAAGAAAATAATTTATTCTCGAAAACAAAAGTAAGATCAGACACTGCCTCCCTCCTCGTTTGTGTAGAATGTGCAATGTCCTGGACGATGATTGATGAGACATAGGAAGACAAAACAGCTGTATGACCTTGTTACCTCACTTAGTTGGTTCTATATTGTATCGTGTGTTAAAATATCGAATATTGATACACATTTATACTATCTAAAAATAATAAATTAAGTAAATAAAGTAGGTAGATAGATAAAGTGAATCAAATAAATAAATTAATAAATTTAGAATAATTATTAAATAATACATCGTACTTGATACATGGTTTGAAATATATTTTAAATGGTGAATTTGATTATAAGAACAACTTAAATAAGAAAAAATGTCGCTTGAATGAAGTATTAAAACATATACTACATAATATGGTTTGCATTGCCGCTAGAGAAGGTAAAACTCATCGCTGCTGTAAATAAGTCGTAAACAATTGCTATTTCGTTAGCTGTCAGAAATAATTCATAAGCGCAAAGGCACTATATATACACATTTTCTTTTCTGACATTTGTTATCGCTTAATCATCGGTGATATCCAATCCACTTTGACCTTTGACACAGCCATCTATGAATATTGAATCAATGCATTTTGGTTGACGTACATAAGGAGCTCAAATATTCCTGCCTTTGGAACAGAAGTCTTAAGGAACAGGAACTTTAAAAGATGGGAAGATTATCAACATGCGTTGCCATAATTTTCGGATGTGCGTTGGCAGGTAAGATTTTTAACTAATGGTTTTGTTTTAAATACAATTAGTCCGGAGAGAATCAATTGAATTAAGACCAAATGATAAACTCCATAAGAACATGTTAGGTACCAATTAAACTTACAAATGTTTTGTATAAATAATTCTAATGGACCAAGTTAGAAATCTACGGTTTTCCAGCATGATGATGGAAAATGGTCAAATTCAAAGTCAAAACACTTTTGATAATTAAGATTGTCAAAACTTGATGTTTTAACAGCATTTTCTTTTAAACACCTGACATTGTTTGAAATAGACTTATTAACGATTTTCTGTATGATGATTTGGCGTTAAGCAATTGCTAGTAAAAATAGCATTTATATTTGAAAGGCTTCGTCTTCCTAGACGAACAGTTGCATGACGCAGTTTAATAAATTCTTTGGTTCTATTGATCTAACTCTTAATTTGCATTACAATATGTTTTTCAATTGTATTTGTTTTGTATAATTTAGAAGTAGCACTACTGGTATAATGTCATATTTATTGCTTACAGTGTAAAGACATCATATAAGTAGTACAATTAGTCATTATGATGGTCATTTAAACCTTCTCATTACCTTCGTCATATCTCCCTAAATCAGTGTTTTGAGGAAAAATCAGTGTTTTGAATTTCCTTGAATATCGAACTAACTGCGACATGCAAACATCATAAGTTTGGGAAACGGGCATGTGGCTATCTAGACAAGGAATGTTAATGTGGAAAATGAAATCATTGCGCTTAGCGTATTAAAAAACTGTCAATGTTTGTTGTAGGAAAAATAATGGTAAGCGATTTAAACCTTGGAAGCAACCGAGGAAAGTACAAATATGTCGAAATAAAAGGGAAAATCCTGACTTCGAGATTCATGAGCCCAATAATAAAATAAATAGATAAATAGAGAGTTTAGCATGTATTTTACATAAACAGTAGTGTACACGATATACATTAACAGTGATGTACACGATATACATAAACAGTAGTGTACACGATATGTACATAAACAGTAGTGTACACGACATGACATAAACAGTAGTATATACGATATGTACATAAACAGTAGTGTACACAATATGTACATAAACAGTAGTGTTCACGATATGTACATAAACAGTAGTGTTCACGATATGTACATAAACAGTAGTGTACACGATATGTACATAAACAGTAGTGTTCACGATATGTACATAAACAGTAGTGTACACGATATGTACATAAACAGTAGTGTACACAATAGGTACTTCAACAGTAGTGTACAAGATATACATAAACAGTAGTGTTCACGATATGTACATAAACAGTAGTGTTCACGATATGTACATAAGCAGTTTTGTCCATAAATAATCGCATATGTTGTAAATACAGCAACACATTGCATGTCATGTAATGTATATAATTAGTAAATGATACAATGTTTAATACAGAGTTAAATACGTGATGCAATGTCAATACGTGATGCAATGTCAATACGTGATGCAATGTCAATACGTGATGCAATGTCAATACGTGATGCAATGTCAAATACCTATAATATCATCATCAAACAGCAGGATGTAGATGCATTATAGTGATATAAGTAATACAAATTGAAAACCTTATATGTCTATACGTATTAAGATAAACAATAAAAGTTAAATAAGTAAAAGTACATATATTATATTTAAGATAGAAAAACTAAATGTATTTTTTCAAACGATGGAGTGTTACAGTTACACACCCAGTGGTTATGTGATACTGTTTTAACCCTAAACAGCTATTTGGCACACGTTATGTCACCGGGATGATAACAACGTAGCAATACTGTTACACATTCATTGGTGATAACAATAACAAGTCTATTGATATTAAGTCATTAAGTCATCTGAGGATTAAGTGCATTGACAGATCAATGAGTAATCCAGCACGAATGTCGCCGATTTCATTTGTATTATTTTCACAGGTTTGAATATTTTAGCTTTAATACAGGATAAGTGAAACTTTGTCTTTAGAAGGTTCGACTGCAAAATAAACGTTGTATATGTTCAATAAATTAAAGTTTAGACAACACAGCAGTTAATTAAAAGAAGAAAACATGCACATTTCATTCTTGAATTTTTTGTTTTTGCTTTTTGAAAGGATCACTTCATTAACAAAAAATACGATATATGATATTTGATTATGATTTCATAGTCAAAATCTGTCGGGTATGAGATTTGTGACCAACGGGAATATTAAGGTAGAGACAGTAATATGGTGTACAATAGCTGTTATTACATTGTCGGTGATTCCTTAGTTTGTTTAATGAATTTGATTTGCTTCTAATACGGTCGGTCTTGGTCGATGGTAGTCAGTGACTATGTGGATGCATAAAGTCATTGGAATATGACAGGTGACACTCGTTTGACCCCATTTATTGTACAAGGCTGTATGACGTGACGTCATTGTATTGGTCGCATGGACAAAAACATGTGAAAACACGTGTTATCATTATACGCAGTTTGTCTGAAAATATATGACATCGCCGAAAGGTCTTCGACCCATTTACGGACGGTGTAGTCGGCTCATTGAAATAACCCAACCATGAAGCTCTACCTAACACTCAAGGCTTATGTCTCAATCATAGGCGGGTACGCAGGCCTCACGTCCACTGGACACCGATTACGTCAGTGAAAGCGAACGTTAAACCTATAAATCAACCACCAGTATTAACATTACAAATGAATACTACGGACAAATGTAACTAAAACAAAGTGACCATAAAAATAATCTGACTTTTCATTGGATAAACCAGTACAGAACGTTGCCAATGTAAGGTTGTTGTTAAACAGCGAATTAAATTTGATATCATAACCGTGAATTATACCGCGAATATTTGAATATATAAGCTCATTGAATTAGTTCAGTATCATTACATGTTGAATTGTATAACAGAAAAATCCTATGTCATGTCCTTTAGATTAAGACTTAATTCAGAGCTACAATAAGTGAAATTACTGGTCGCACCGGGTTTGTCACCGCGACAATGCCCTCTGGTCTTTCTTTTGTTATCATAATAAGTAGACATGCGCATTACTGATTTAATTTTCCTTCTTCAATGTTTTCAATCTGTGACATTTATACTTCAACAATTATGACAAGCAATATAAAATAGAACTAATTAATCAATATATTGACTATTTAAAAGACGAATTCAAGAATATATCTAAATTCCATCGCAGATAAATACATTGTTTTGTATATAACTGTCGTGTTTTATATTAAATCAATTAAATTTGACATGTGTTATATGTTTCTCTTATGTTGTTTACCTATCAAGTAACCGCCATGAAATTAATTCATGTTGGTCGCAGGTAGTTTTTTTTAACGAATTAAACTAAGAAAGTAATGTGTCAACCAAAATTGTTCTAGATATCACATGACCAAAACAAAGAAAAAATTGAAAAGATTTTCTCAAGGTGATCATTTTACACTCACTCTCCATCCTTCCCATTCTCCAACCAAGCATTTCAATGTCTACATCGATTCTTCGTATGTTTCGTTTGCTAATAAACATTTTATTTTGGTTATTTCTCGGCGACACTTTTGTTTATTGGTAATACAGTATGTATATCTTATTGTTTATATGTTTTTAAGGTTTTTTTGGTAGACGCCATATTTTGTTTACTACATATAATGTAAAATGTTTTCATACATTTTCGTAAACAATGTTGTTGTCAAGTCCATGGCATACACTCGTCATTTAAATTAATGAAAATTATCGAAAATGACATTTTGTTATTTCTTCTTAACCAAACCAGCCGAGATGGTTTTGTTTTTTGTTGATGGAGAACATAAATATTTTTACGTGAAATCAGAGAAAGTGTTGTGATAACATTAAATTTAGTGTGCCATCACTAATTGTTTCTTTTATAAGTTCTGTGAATTCCTATCTCTGTGCTGTACTTTCTGTTTGTCAAACTTACGAATTTTATTTAAGCGTTCATGACGTATAATTTGCATTTCAAATAACATGCACACAAAAGATACACAAAAGATATCATTAACCACTATTTAATTATATCAGATAGATAAGAGGTATTGACATATATTGTTCAAAGTGTCACGTTACATCCCCTTTTATGTTGCCGATTGTATCACATGATCAACTTTGATACTCCTGTATAAGTTTTGGACGCTACTGGTGGACTTTGAGTCCCCGAGGGTTTGCTGTAACCAGAATCTTGCATACTCTGCCCTTATAGTAAAACAGCTCGATAATTTATGTTCACGGCGATCCTATTAGACCACAGATACAAAGTTTAGCCTAATGCGGTTTGTGAAGGTGTAAACACAATGTCGCGTTTCTATACAGGAAATAGCATACTTGTAGTTTACGATACTATACAATGTTCTTACAATATCTGACCACACATGGAATGGCTGTGTTGACGATCTTTGTTACCACTGGCAACTGTCAATCAATCAACTCCCATCATGTCCCGAACAAATGGCACGAACTTTTGACCAGTTTCACACGACCACATCATACACAGAACAGATATCATTTTGTACAATAAGTATTGCTTGGTGCACCAGGTAACTGTCGCCATAGTACTAAAGTGACATGCGGCCTATTAATAATGCAATATGTACCTGTCCCTTCAGGCTTATATCCCGAACCAGAAAAGGTTCATTAAGGCACTACAGACTTAACAGTTACATATATAAAGCATACTCTCAGAAACAATGCTACCAGTTCTAGACCCTTTTGTTACGTCGATGCTTGTAACATTTGTGTATGAATGTCTTACATTGAATGGTACGGCAATATGCTAACATCCATACAACACTTACTTTGAAAGCAGTTGTGAAAAAAACATATTTTCTTATCGAAAACATATTATTAACATTATAATGTGTCTTTAGATGCCGACGATTTAGAAACGTGTCAATATATGAGCAATATTCCTTAATAGGTTCCCCATGTCCATGTCGATGTCAGTTTATGCATCATAGATGCATTATTCGTTATTTTGCTATTTTCCTGGCTTAGAAAGGAACGGTAATACGTCTGTTAAAAAAAAAAAAAAAAAAAACATCTTGATGCTGACATTTTTACGTTTCCCCCTTGTTTCATCTAAAGCTCTATCTTAATTTCAGGTTGCTATCAGACTACAGTATGAATGCCAATTTTGAACTGTATAATGATATGTGATCATCATCGGTAAATAACAGTTCCATGTCTATTATATGTTCAACGTTAATCGGTTAATTATGTACATGGTACATATAAATTAGTCCACAAATCCTCAAACTGATAACTTACACTGTTTCAATTTGGTACGATGATAGGATATATCAAATATAAAATGACATTTTCACTTGTGTTTCTTTTGTACAATATTCTAAATTTCTAGAATTTTTCTCCCCGAAAATGCCTCATTTTGTAGTCATTACATTCATTCGATTTCGCTTTAACCGATTCTGATGTTATTGTATTATAATCATTGAGTCAGAAAAGCTTATATTTAGAACAAGTTAACAAACCGGATTTTAATTTGTATTGTGATAGGTGACTCCCTGGAGACACATTAGACGAATCACAGGGCTGATATTACTATAGATTCTTTTGCCAAACTAAGAAACTGAAAACGAATTTGTAGTCTATAGGCAGGGTACTGTTTCATCAATCATCTTCTTTAGACCCCAGTGTCCCTGAATACTTTATCATTACATTTTATTTTCTCAGTGGATATTAATATAAAGAAAAAACAGAATAAATTACCATTCGTTGTCATTTTTCACCTGGGTGTCCGGGGTTCAATTCTCGGAACGAACGACAAGATATAGGGACATTCAGACCATGTGGGTTTTTCCTTTGTAATCCGGTCTCCGTCTACAATAAGATTCCTCGTGTGATTCATTCCGGGACAACAAGGGTGATGAATAGAGGCTGAATTAAATGATTTTTTTTTCGCTATTGTTGTAAAATAAAGAAAGATGGTGTACATTTACATCATAGTCAATGTGGGTTACTATGATGATATGTCAGCTTTTGTACATGGCTATATTTTGAAAACGCAGTGTAAATAACAAAATTTTCGTCATAGTTAACTGAAGCTTTTTGATCAATCAAGACAAGCACTTCAATGTTCTCAAGCGTCGTAGCTTTGTTTCTGTTGCATCTTGTAAAACTTAGACGACATATAACTGAAATGATGAAGAATTTCTGAAAGTTCCTGTCGTTTTATCATTGACATGCTAACTTGAACTTCTGACGTTGCAGACACCAAGCATTATATGGTAGTGGTAATGTGATTAAACAGCGACCTAGGTACATCCCGATATCACCTTAGAAAAGGCCTGTTGCCATACCTGAAGTATCCAGCCAGTGATGTCATTGTTGGTAGATGTAGTCAGAGAGTACTATGCTAAGGAACAGGATTAGATGACACAATGTTCAATGCTTGCCATATCCTGCATCATTGAGACACTTTTAAAGAGTTGAGCTATTCGGTTTTATGATTAAGCTATATGTATTTATCCACAGCATATGCCCAGCTTCCTCCGATGCTTGAACAACTGATGGCAAATCCGACTATGGCGATGGCTATGATGAATGGAGGAGGACAAGGGTCTGGACCGGTTAACCCTCTTTTGATGTCTGCCATGATGAATCCAACATCTAGTGGGGAACGGTCGTCATCCTTCAACGATATGGCAATGATGAACATGATGATGAACGGAGCATCAGGGACTGGCAGCATGTTTGACCAATCACAGTCATCAAACGGTTTAAATAACACTTCCGCCGGAAGGGGGATGCAGATGCCTCCGGCGCCAGTCAGTAGAGGTCCCAATATAAATGATATCATGTCCATGATGATGCTTTCCAATTCAGGAGGCTCCCCAAGCTCTGATACACTACAGAGGATCGGGGTTATGGGTGCGTTGGGGCGAGGTAATACCAGGGTTCTTAACCCAAACCTTTCTCCAAATCAGTTGATGGACTTGACAAGAGACGGAGTTGTAAGTATAATGTTTGAGCCCAAAAAGTTATATCTACGAGCTTTATCCTATCCCGTTAAATATGTTATTGATTTTATATTTTTGTTATTTACTCGATCGAGAAAAATTACATAGATATCGGTAATAAAATACAAAACGTCACGTATGATATACACTGAACCGGTGTATTAATTAAATACTGAAAAATAAACAAATAGTAATAGCTCTTTTATAAATGATGAGTATGATAGTTTAAAAGTTAGTTGTGTTATCACAAACAATACATCAATACAATGTTACCGATTAGTACTCGGTTTACATTTATGTGTTGTCTTTTACAATCATACGAGAATCTTGTTTGATTTACAATTTCTATAAAGAAGAATAGACACTTTTATTTTCACATTGCATGAAGAGCCTGAAATTCCTGAATTCCTGAAACCCCCTTTTTAATCAGAAATAACAATTTCACACAAGCTAAACATTATTGTACCGAAGTGTTCAGCGATTATGTTTGTCTTGCTCCAAATGTTTTTAAAAGTTTTAATACGCCCAATGTTTGCATTTCTCCCTCATTGGGAAACATATTTCTGCATCCAGGTAACAGTTCCTTTATATATATTTTTCTAACAATGCGGTTTATACTGTACTATATGTTTTAAACAAATGAATAGTATATATTTGGTTGAAAAACGTCGTACTAAGAAGCAGAGTGCTTCGTGGCGACATGAACTATCAGGGTATGCTTTTCTCTTCTCGTTCAACCATAAAGGAAATATACTTCACCCTCCCAATACGACAATTTAATCCATAGAAATAATGTGCATAATTTTGGAATTATAACAGGAACTATAGTGGATTGTGTATCAGTTGCATTAATGGATATATTGTATACATTAAACACGAGACAAAGAACCGTTTGGTTTGGCGTATATAATTTTCTCTTTACGGTTGCGAACAATGCTTTGAACATCAATATTGATTTAGGAGTAGATATAGGTAAACACATATCTGATAGTTAAGAAAACTTAAGTAAGGAATTATATTCTTAAACTCGACAACAAGTCGACTTCAAAACTAAATCTATACTGAAAATGTGTCTGTAGTTTCTCAATTTAATAAAACCGATATGCTAACTATTAAAAAAAAAAGCCTCGTCTACTTTTTGAGTTTGTAGGATCTTCTTTAAAAATGTATTTTCTTTAACTGTTATAGAACTTTGCCAATCATTTGAATTGAACTTTTTCATCGGATCGGGTGGTAAAAACTGCGCAACATTAAGTTAAGACTATTTATGATGCATTTTTCTTTTGTAGGGAGTAAGCGCCGTTCTGGCTAGGCAGATATGTCCACCACAGAGATGTCCATTCCGTGTTCCTTGTGAAAGTCCAATAATAACATACAAACCAGAGACTTTCTTTGTATGTCCAGATTGTCCAAAATGTCCGTTTCAAATTATGATGGGAGCAATGAATCCGAACTTCAATTCCATGGGGTAGGTTAAATAGCATATTGCTCTATTTGGTTGGAAGACTACGACCAGTGTTCACCAGTGACGCTATGAATTCAAAACTTTGAAATCATGAAGCCACAACAGGTTAATGATAATCGACACGAATGTTAAAATATAGATGTGGAAGTTACAGACGCTATATCAAGATTGGAAGGAAAGTCTTGTAGCCATTATACTTTCAATCCATACATTATCTCTCAGATAATTGTTTTTAATTTTTAAATTTAGAACATAACTCACGGAAAGAAGAATAAGTATGTGCAAAATAAAATCTTTCGCATTAAATTCCTATTTGGATCGCAAACACAATCAATAAAAATAAAACATGTAGTACGCATTCAGCAGAGTACTGATTAAAGTGTAAGTAATGTTACTAAGTTTTCAACAACTTTATAATGGATTTCTAAACTTTACAATAATCTATGTAAACAACGTATAGCTGTTCAACCAAACGTACTTTTTAACATTGTTAGCAAAAATATGACATTGTTTACCAAAGAAGTGGAATTAATAGTATGTCGAATTTTAAGAAATCCAAAGAGCTTTTAACCAAACTTCAACACCTTCAACTACAACATTTCTTCTATATGAACATTTGATTTTTTCCACCCTTTACATCACCATACCCCATTTTGAACTGAATGAACGCCTTCGCTCTCTTGTTACGAGAGCTTTCTTTTCTAGGAAGGGTCGATGGTGGTACAAAGCTATGGTCGTGAAATATACTGAAGCGTGTTTCATTAAAAATACTTACTCTGCCCTCTGTTGGCTGATTTGTTTTCGTTCTCATACGAGGCTGAAGAGCTTATCGAAGAACGTATCAAAACATGGTTACAAAGACTTTACAAAGTCGTTTCACTTTCATTTATATTGAGGACTTATTGTCTTTCAAAAACAAGACATTTATTGACTGGAAATACGACAAACTTTTCTACATAAGCTACTTATCCCGGTGTTTCCTACAATAAACATGTGCACGTTTCCATCATGCTGTATGATAAGCGTTGAGAACTGACATTATTTACTTGGATTTATCAAGATTTACATTATGGGTGTCATCTCGATGAAGCAGAAAACAATTTCTCTTCCTGAACACCTTGTCTTACTCTCCTTGCACTTTTTCCCCGCCTAAATATTTCTTTTGTTCAAATTTTACCTTAGTTTTATTGACTTTGAGTTTGGAATATAATTAAATTGACGTGTTGGTATTTTTTGTATCTTTTTCCACCTTTGGCGCATCGTAATTTTGCACTCATCCTTCATACATATGATTGTAGACCTAAAATAACTGTTGATAGAACGTTTAGCAAAAATAAAACCAAACCAACCTATATACCGTTTTCGCGAGTGACAAACCAGAATTTTAGGCGACAGTAATGCGATAAATCTCTATCCATTTTATATTACACACATCTGTTTGTGTGACAGAAGAAACGACTAGTTATATTACACATCTTTAAAAGTATAATTAATACAGGGTGTATTACATGTCAGAAACGACTAGTTATATTACACATCCGTTTAACTTAATCTATTACACAGTTATATTACGTGATAGAACAGACTTGTTAGGTGATAGTCAATGGTAAAAACGAAAACCTATATAATTTGGATACTTTTCTTCTGTTTAGCTCCACAGGTAGGCGCCCAACAATGAGAAGGAACCTGAGGAGCCGTCAGAGGACGGGAGCGCCAGTGCCTATGCGTGCATTCCAAATAGGAACAGGAAATTCAACAAGAACTGCATAATTGTATTTCCTAGACTTATCTACCCACCGAAGGCGAAATTAAATATACTGAGTGGATGGTTTATTTCAGATAATAGTGTTTTTTGGGAAACGTAAAGTGAATAATTTGTATGAGTGAGTAATGTTGAATGTACATGTACTGCCTATGTGTAAGGCTATCACGCAGGTGTGTACTATTAGTGATATATCTCACTTAAGATTCGTTTTCAATTGTGTGAATGGTTGTTCTGCATTAAAAGAAGTGTGTTATCGTTTCTAATTCCATTGATATTTGTGCAAAGGAAAGGAATTCTTATTTTCAGCTGCTCCAACCTGGTTAATTATCTCATACATACGATGCTTTGTGATTTCATATCTACATATTGTATTTGTTCTACAGAAATGATATTCTACTTTATAAACGCTAAGATGTATTTATCCAACAGAAAAAAATACGTCTATTATTTTTGGAGAAGACCGTACCATTGAGTTTCAGTTCAGAATATATATTGATATATTACAATGGAACATACAAATACAATAAGTGCAATGTATGATCAAATAAAGGATAGAATCGTAGTACTAATATATAATCTGATAGATCTTACAACGTCGTGAACCACAGCGCAATGTCGATCAATCGGCCCATAGGATATTTACATTTAATTGTATGAAGTAAACGGAAACATTTAAAATATATGCATAATCATCCCCGATACTCCAGCAGTTACCATCCATTTCGCTCTCCCCATCCCTTGAACATGTCATGGCAAAATTGAAGGTTTCACATGCGATACCTTGTGGACAAGGCGAAAAAGACCAGTTTGTCATTTGATACATACCAAATGAATCCGAGGTTACATAACGGTATGTTGTCATGACTTTGAAGTTTATTGTCGTTTCTTTATAATTGTGCGTATAAGCCTGTGATTGGTCTGTTTTTTCTCCTGGAACCAATCAAATTACATCGCCTGTTCCTTCAATATTGCCATGACATGTTCCGGGTGTGCAGAGAGCGAAAATGATCGTAACCCCTGGAGTATTGAGGATAGTGGAAAATTATACTAAATTTTCATGTGAAGACTTCTTTTATTCATATATTTAACAAATAAATGCATTCGTTGCGTCCTGCAATTTGGTCATGTGATTCTTGATTCCTGTGGTTTTTCCTTGACGGTGAAAAGGAGCCGTCCAGATCAGTGTATTACAATGGGTTACGGACATGGCAGGGTCTAATAATAATATATTAAGCTAGAAAACTTATAGCTTTATCACAAGTTTAAAATTAACTATCGTTAAAGAACCAAATAAGCGGAGTTTCGCCTTCTTTTTACAAACGTACAAATTACATATTGAACCTGTTGGGTTGTCTGGCAATTAAAAGCAAATGAAGTTTAAACTTTCTTCAATTCAAATATTTTATATATAATTTAGATAATACAAAAACGGCAGAGAAGAAAAATAGAAACTTTTGTCTAAGACACTTACGTAAATCTAAATAAATAAGCTATACTCTTATAGCTAGACAATGTATATATGATAGATTTTAACAATTAATATAACATAGAACGAATTTAAACGAGAGGAAGGACGGAGATATGATTTATTTGAAGGGAAAAGTAGAGGGATAGTTTATAGATGATGGAGGCAGGTATACAGTTAAACAGGGAGAAGGAAAGGTATAGGGGTTTGTTTTGTAAAAGTTAACAACATGCTATGTTATGGTAGAGAAGATAAGAAACATTTTATGAAACTGAAGAACTTTTCTATTTTGTCAAAAGATCTGGTCCGTCCTGCTTCATAAGATAATTGATCAATACTTGTAAACTTTGTTGCACCAGTTACAGTACATTTAGATATTTGATTTAATTTCATTCGTTTGGTATGACTCCTCAAAGAGTATTACCATACCAAAGACCATATCCAGAGAACACACCAAAATTTACAGGATTCCATGTATAGGGGAATTATGAATAGGTGTTCTTTTCTTATTTATTTACAGACTTTTAGATTAAAATCTACAAACTTTTTCTTGACATCGTTATAAATTTTTAATATTAATTCGCATAAAATGGCAAAATCGTCACTCATATGTAATCTACTTATATATTATGTTCCATGTGACGTAGATAAAGTCTACTTTTCTATCCTTAGTTCGGGACACCTTTCCTGAGATGTCATAGATCAGACTGAAACTTAGGGAATTAGTCTCCCATCTTTACCACTGGTTGTTTGTATTGTTTTCAGTACATGTGTAGTTTGTCCACTCCGTAGGCGTGAAGGTGATAAGTGTGGTATTCTAGTCCGAGCTGTTTAGGGGCATTCACCATACAAAACGATATAGCATAGTCACTTACGGTTACCTGCAAAACAAGTCAGAAATATGATTATCATTAATTAGCTCATTCTATTCCAGAATGCACATTAAAAAGAAATTACTTTTGATGAAATTTGATTTCAAATGAAAAGGTTGCGTTACCAAGACCACTTGAATCAGTGTATTGAATTAGTGTATTAACTATTAACTATCATTACTGTGGCAATCTGATATGACCAGGATAAATCGTGAACGTGCGTTTCCCATCGGAGTTGATTGATGTGTTTTACTTTGAGGTGTGGTTTTATGTGTATTACCGAAAAAGGGTGTATTTAATAAGAATTTTTTTTTATCTTGATTTTTAACCTATTTTGCATAAAGAAAGAAAAATAAAAACATTTGTAAGATTCTGAGGTATCTGATGAAGTGAGAAAAGTAAATGTGTATGTTTCCTTCTCAGTCCTGTTGAATACGTATATGATTTGCAATAAGTAAAGTACCAGACAATTATGAAACAAGTGATCTGACTGGTCAATACGTGTACACGTGACAAGGGTATTGTTTTGTGTATTAGGCTTTCTTACAGCCAAAATATCATTCTTGGTCCTTCAACCAAGCATACGAAATTTACATCATAACCATATCACTTATTCGAAGTCTGTAAACTGTATGTGTTATTAACCAAATTCGAAGGATTAACTTCCAGTTATTAATGTATGATAAGCTTTTCTGCTTATCTTTATCTGTACAAGAAATATATCCATATTGAACTAAAGTAAAGATACTTAATTTTCCCTGGTGTTGTTTCATGAGATAAAGAAAGACCATTAATATAATATTTACTTTGCCTGTCGATCCTACTTCCTGATTCTCTGGGAAATACATAGTATCCAGGTGTTCTGGAGGTACGCAGTTGAACCTTTCCCGTCCATCTGAATCCTTAGTCGATCCAGCTGTGACTCCAACAACACTCATACATAGATCTGTATAGGCATCTCCGGTTATAGTCTCGCCACAAGATATTTTTGTATAGTCGATGGCAGACACACGTTCTATTGCACCTTTGCTCATCACAAATCCCATATTTTCCATGTTAAACTGCCTTGGAAAATATGGCTTTTTAAAAGTAACATCTTTCAGAGGGTTTACCCGACCGTACAGTACCGGAGAGCTTGGGTTTTTACTGGACAGAAAGTAACGCAGATTCTCCATGATAACATACGTCTCGTCAGTGGCTATGAGAAACCAGTCAAACTGTTTAATATAGTTGCGCATTATTAAACTAAGAACGGTTTTGATTTTTTCTCGATAGAAAGATAACTTTTCTGGCGATGTAATTGAAATAACAGGCAATTCGTAGGATGAGGTGACATTATGGGCGAGATACACTACTTGTGTGCATCGCTTTGCCCATGTCTTGTGGATTGCTGTTGATTTCTTTGGAATGTCAGCTGTTTTTGCCATGATCACACACAATACTGTAATTTCTTCCTTCAGCTTATCTGCGACGATTGAAATATCTACAAGAAAACATCAGCACTTCAGTATTCTTTATTGAAACGAACGACAATATCTCTTACTCAGATTAAAAAATAATTCCATGAATCCTCTATATATACATAGACATATAATGAAAAATGCTTTTTACGAACGATTTAGTTTAAACATTGACTGAAACAAACAGAAAAATTAATATTGATATTGCTTCAGAAATTCCGATAACTTTATTATATTGGCGCTGATATTGCTGTTCATACTATGATCTAGTCTGAATATTGCAGAGTTGTAATTTGCATCAGCAGGTTAATGGTTTAAAGCATAACGATGATTTTAGAACTGACATTAAATTTTGTTTATAAGCAATATTAATGTATCCCCTTCTATATAACATCTGCTCTGACTGTAACATATCTCACTAGAGACCGTAATATATAGGCCCATTAAAGTGGGTGCTAGCACAGCATGGTGCAAAATGACATGGAAGACAACATTACTAAAAATCATACCGTGGTGATGACCCTTGTCCTCGTCAAGGTTTTTAAATTCCATATCATTGAATTCATCATCTTTGGGATACTTTTTCTTGACTAATACATTCCTTTCGTTACTGCGCATGTTCCCTTCGTCTTGTCGAGAGTGTTTCCGGATGTCATGGAGAGATGGAATCAAGAAGTAGTAAACAATGATACCAAAACATAGCCCAGTCATGAACCTATAAGTACAAAATTTCATTGTTTATGAAAAATAAGTAATAGGGCAATCCGTGAGTGACTTAAAACTCTGGTTCACATTTCTGTAATACACTGAATCATGATCTCAGTCAATAGGTGATTAACGGTGTTACGCTTTAAAATCCAATATGAATAGTACAAAATCGATAATTTTCTTTATAATACTACACCTGGTGTCACACTTAAGTCTGTTGGTTTTGATTTATGCAATAATCCATTGTTGTGACATACCTGGATTCGTCTAGATTTTATTGTAGAATAAGTAAATATCAGTGGGGCTTTCATCACAGCTGTAGTTTACTAGTTGGTAAGATAATGACCCCGTAGAGCGTATAATAGTCTTTTGCCTAGTCACGTGATATGCTATAGCTAACCACAGCAGCTCTTAAAACGATATGTGAGAGCTGTTTTATTTTCTTCACAAGGTCCTGGAGGGGAGTTTGCGAGATTTGGTATATAGACTTATATTCAATATGTGACAAGTATGGAGTTCACATAATCAAAGTCTCCTATGACGACAGACACTGCTGAAGTCTAATTACAAAAAAAAGTTATCCATGGCACAAAACACAGTAATATGACAAGCTAAAGTAAAGCAATGACGTGTTTTCCCCTCGTGACCCTTATTATATCTAGGCGGTACCTCTACGATTTGTGTTCCGGCGACGAAATTCATGTCAGAAAGGGATTAAAACAATTGTAGAGAATTTCCGTAAGAATGTGTGACTATCACCTGTGCATAACATTGTGTCTCCGCCACTATCTCTTTAACACAACCATGTAAATAAACCACGAGAACATATTTTGTCATTGAAACCATTGATGTTACCACAACCACATAGATAATGATGATCGAAATCGGCATACAGCAGAAATGTGGATAAATAAATAAATAAACAAATAAATCTCACTGTTTTTCAATTCCGTTCCGTGCCATTCTTCGTCCACGGCATGTCTACGTGTGACAAACATGCCAGTACAAGGTGGCAACAATGCCTCGAGCTGAAGTTTCAATTATTTTCTATAACAATATGATAGAATACCTTGAGGGTTAGATAATGCCATTTTCTAGAGTATAATCGAATGTCAGCCACATCTCACTGTTTACCGTCAATGCTTTGTAAATGTTTCACATAAAGAATAGCAGATATATTTATGCATTGTCTATCAATGAACTGGGATTTTGACGGCCTTAACTTTCATGACAATATAGACCTAAAAACAGTGAAACATAGACTGCAGACACTGACAATATAGACTGTAGAACATGACAATATAGACTGTATAACATGACAATATAGACTGTAGAACATGACAATATAGACTGAAGAACATGACAATATAGACTGTAGAACATGACAATACAGACTGTAGACATTGACAATATAGACTGTAGAACATGACAATATAGACTGTAGAACATGACAATATAGACTGTAGAACATGACAATATAGACTGTAGAACATGACAATATAGACTGTAGACATTGACAATATAGACTGTAGAACATGACAATATAGACTGTAGACATTGACAATATAGACTGTAGAACATGAAAATATAGACTGTAGAACATGACAATATAGACTGTAGAACATGACAATATAGACTGTAGAACATGACAATATAGACTGTAGAACATGACAATATAGACTGTAGAACATGACAATATAGACTATGAATCATAGATGTCTTGTTTAATATAGACTGTAGAAAGACAATATAGGACGTGCCAATAATTGAACATACAATTGTAGACATACATTTGTTTCTTGACAATATTGATATTTTTATATTATATTGACTCAATATCGTGATGACAATTGATATATATATATACAGGTTATATTTCTTTAGTGATATGTTGCTATTTATCTGTATCTTTGGATAATGAAGATTCTTATAATTTCTTTTTTACTTGTCCTTTATATGATAATTTCCTAAATGAACTAAACAGATATAGACTGTAGAACATGACAATATACTGTAGACATGACAATATATAAATATTGACAATATACTCTGTAAACATTGACAATATCTTATTAATATATATAATTTGAAAATATAGATTGTAGAAGGCTGACAATATAGAAGAACATGACAATATAGACTAGAACATGACAATCTAGACATTGACAATATAGACTGTAGAACATGACAATATAGACTGTAGACATTGACAATATAGACTGTAGAACATGACAATATATACTGTAGACATTGACAATATAGACTGTAGAACATGACAATATAGACTGTAGAACATGACAATATAGACTGTAGAACATGACAATATAGATGAATTCTCTCTCTCATAATTTCACATCCTAATGTTTAAAAATGACTGACTATGTGAAGGCTGTAGTATCTTCCTCTCCCCCCACCCTCTCTCTCTCTCGTAAAGTGTAATCTATGGTGAATTAAGATATATGTATTACTAAACATGATGAATTGTCTACTCTCATATTTCACATCCTAATGTTTAATCATGTGACTATTTGTATATCTTACTGACCAATCTGTTTGACATTCCAGTATGACAATAAAATATGTTTAAACTAAAAACTAAACTAGTTACATCGCGAACTAGCTTGCCAATGATCTTAGTGAAGTAATTTGATGGAAGTTGATCAAGTATCCACTTCTTTAAACGTCTATGCAAGGACTCCACAACTCATTGTGTTTTGGTGCAACAGCGATCGCAATTGGCAAATGTGATTTTCCAGTTGGTAAAAAGACGGCATTTTAGCATCAAATCCCAGCTCAGCAAGAAGATCTAAGACGTCCCTGAAACTACGATCCAAAATCATATTGCCATTTACTTGCAGTCAAGATTTCAAGAAGTCGAATTTCTCAAAAATGGGTTGAGATATGGATGCATCATTTACAATGCCGTGATAAGGACCAATTGTGTCTAAAACATACCCATCAGACGGCACAATGGACATGGACTTTTAATAGTTGCGTTTTTATTCTCCCCTCCACATGCTGCCCTTCGAAACTGGTGATATTTGCTTTTGTTGAGATAGACATACGCACCATGTAAGATAAGAGTGACCTGATCACCATAGAATACTTTGTTAAAGCTGTGTGAAGTTAGCTCAACATACGACATTCGACATTAGACATTCAGAATTTGAATGTTGTGCCAGCTCGACATTAGACATTAGACATTCAGAATTTGAATGTTGTGCCAGCTAGACATTAGACATTCAACATTCAGAATTTGAATGTTTTGCCAGCTCGACATTAGACATTAGACATTCAGAATTTGAATGTTGTGCCAGCTCGACATTAGACATTAGACATTCAGAATTTGAATGTTGTGCCAGCTCGACATTTGACATTAGACATTCAGAATTTGAATGTTGTGCCAGCTCGACATTAGACATTAGACATTCAGAATTTGAATGTTGTGCCAGCTCGACATTAGACATTAGACATTTAGAATTTGAATGTTGTGCCAGCTCGACATTCAACATTCAGAATTCGAATGTTGTGCCAGCTCGACATTAGACATTAGACATTCAGAATTTGAATGTTGTGCCAGCTCGACATTAGACATTCAACATTCAGAATTTGAATGTTGTGCCAGCTCGACATTAGACATTAGACATTCAGAATTTGAATGTTGTGCCAGCTAGACATTAGACATTCAACATTCAGAATTTGAATGTTGTGCCAGCTCGACATTAGACATTAGACATTCAGAATTTGAATGTTGTGCCAGCTCGACATTAGACATTAGCCATTCAGAATTTGAATGTTGTGCCAACAGGACATTAGACATTAGACATTCAGAATTTGAATGTTGTGCCAGCTCGACATTAGACATTCAACATTCAGAATTTGAATGTTGTGCCAGCTCGACATTAGACATTCAACATTCAGAATTTGAATGTTGTGCCAGCTAGACATTAGACATTCAACATTCAGAATTTGAATGTTGTGCCAGCTCGACATTAGACATTAGACATTCAGAATTTGAATGTTGTGCCAGCTCGACATTAGACATTAGCCATTCAGAATTTGAATGTTGTGCCAACAGGACATTAGACATTAGACATTCAGAATTTGAATGTTGTGCCAGCTCGACATTAGACATTAGACATTCAGAATTTGAATGCT